ATATAAATATATAAACAAACAAAAAAAATTAAAAAAAAAAAATTAAAAAATTAAAATTTTTTTTTTTTTTTGAATTAAAATTTTTTTAATTTTTTTAAATTTTTTTCACTTAAAAAAAAATTATTTCTAAATAATTATTTCTTTTTTAGGATCAAATGAAACATTATCTTTTTTTTATAAAATAATATAGATCCATAATTAAATAACCATAAATAATTATTTTCATTTTAAAACTTGATTTCTATTTTTTGATTATTCAATTAATTAAATTTAATCTAAAAAAAAGAAAAAAATTTTTGATCTCTATTGAATGAAATAAATTATTGAGTTCTCATAAATATCCACTAGTGATCAAATAAAAAAAGAAAAATAAAACCCAAATTTGGAAAAAAATTTTAAAAAAAACAAAAAAAAAACACAAAAAAACACAAAAAAAAAAAAAAAAAAATGATTAAAAATAAAAATAAAACTAAATTTATTAATACTTATATTTAATAATAAAATAAAATATACATTTTTCATGTTTATTTTTTTATTTTATTTTTTTTTTTTTTTTTTTTTTTTTATTTTTTTATTTTTAATTTTTTAAATTTGGTTATTTTTCTTTGCAAAATTTATAAACCATAAAAACAACCATTTAATTGAAAAAAAAAGAAAAATTTTATAAAAAAATAAAAAAATTTAAATTTTTTTTTATTTTTTTTTTTTATTTTTTTATTTTTGTAAAATTTATTGCAAAGGAAAAATAAAAATAAAAGTAAAATATATTCTATATATTTTATTATTTTTTTAAAATAAATGTCAGAAAGGAAAGAGGAACTATATCAGCTTTTAGATGATATTATTGATATGAAACCAACTCATTCACCCTCTACCCACCAACCAAATAATGAATTAATAGAATCCCCACCACACCCACCCATACCAATAATACCATCATCCTCAGAAAATTCGCCATCCTCATCTTTACCTACTTCACCATCGTCGACACACAATAAAACTCCAATTACATTATTACCAACTACCAATAATTGGAAAGCATCAATACCTAAAAAGAAATTTGAAAATGTACAACACTCACAAATATTAAACCAACCTAATAATTTATCGACATCTTCATCATCATCATCATCATCATCATCGTCATCATCATCAAATTTATTACAACAACCCTTATTATCACCAGCTCGGAAAATACCTTTAAATAAAAGTTCAGACATGAGTTTACCAACAAACCAAAATAGTTCACCAAATAGTCCACAAACACCACCATTATCGCCACAATTATCATTAACACCACTTTCTTTAGTTAATGATAATGTTGTAAATAGTAATAATAATAATAATAATAATAATAAAAATAATAATAATAATATTAATAATAATAATAATCACCTTGTAAATAATAAAGAAAAACCAAAATTAAAAAGAGAAAATTCAATTCAAAAAAATGTACAATCACCACCACAACAAATAAATACCTTAAATTCAGAAGATGAAATTTTAATTAAAGTTTGGTTACCAATGGAATATACAGGTCAGTTATATAAGGTTAGAAAGTTTAGTGGAGGCAGCTCAACACTCAAGGTTTCAAGTATTTTAAATTCACAATTAGCGCCAATCTACCAATCCCCAAAAAATAAATTGTTTTTAAATAATGAAGAAAAACCATTACCAAGCCATTTAACTTTAAAAGATTTATCATTAACAAAATATGTAAGTTATAATTAATAATAATAATAATAATAATAATAAATAATAATAATAATAATAATAAATAATAATAATAATAATAATATAAATATTAATAATATTATTTTACAGGATATTTTATATTTAAGAAGAGAGCCAGAGTATGAATTAATTATCCCATCACATCCACAATGTGGATCATTAATATTGGATAAAGATATTAAAGTTGGTGAAATGCTTTTAAAAATTGAACTATGGTTAAAAGATATTTTAGAGTCAACTAGTAATGGCCAACCCCAATCACAACCAATACCTCTTCATCCAGTAGATAGACAAGAGTATTTCACATCACTAGAAGAGCAACATTTAATGAATGGTCATAATGAGGTAAATTCACACTACAATCTATTAAAAAAACTTTCAGTACCAACAGCAAACACAAGATTAACTGGAAAATTATCAAGAGGTTATTATTTAAGACTTTATGATCAAAAACAAATCTCAAATTATGGTATTAAAATTAAAGTAATTATTTAAAATACTATAGTAACAGTTAATGATTAAAATTTTATAGTTAACTAATTTTCTTTTTACAAATAGGATACATTAATTTTTAAAAAGAAGGTTTTAAATAGGGGTTTGGCAATTGATGATGCGGAGGGCGGTATTGAAATATCGGTCCTATATTCACCTTTATCAATGGTTGCAACAATTTCAGATTCAGATTTTGAAAAGGAAATTAAGGATAGAGAAAAAGAAAAAGAATATTTATCATCAAATACACCATTAAATAATAATAACAATAGTAATAATAATAACAACAATAGTAATAATAATTCAACATCAGATATTTTATTACCCAATCTAATTAAAATCGAAAATCATAATTCACAATTATTAAATGAAATTAAAAGTGAAAAGAAAAAAAGAAAGAGTAAAAGGACACCATCAAGTGTTGGGTTACCTTTTAATATTGTACATAAAACTCATGTAGATTTCGAATATAAATGGTCTGGTGCATCTGTTGAAGATACCTTTGAATTTAAAGAGAAATTAGGTCAAGGTGGTTATGGTGCTGTTTTTAAAGTTTTACATAAAGAAACTGGTTTTCCAATGGCAATTAAAGTTTTATCGATCACACCAACAAGAATCAAAGATATTGAAAAGGAAATTGATTTATTAAAAAAGTGCCGTTGTCCAAATGTTTTATCTTATTATGGAAGTATTAGTTCGAAATTAACAGAGCTTTGGATTCTTATGGATTATTGTGCTGTTGGATCAATTAAAGATATGATGAAAACATGTTGCGATACTTTAGATGAAGATCAAATAGCTGTTGTAACTTTAAGTGTTTTAAATGGTTTGGGTTATCTTCACTCGAAAGGAATAGTACATTTGGATGTTAAAGGTGCAAATATTTTATTAACTGAAAATGGTGATGTAAAATTAGCAGGTATGTATTAATATTATTATATTATTATTATTTTAATCATAATCATTATTATAGGAAAATTAATTAATTATTTTATTTTAATTAGATTTTGGTGTTAGCCAACAATTACAAACACCATATGGCCAAGCTAATATTTTAATTGGTAGTCCATTATACATGGCACCAGAAGTTATTCAAAAAGCACCATACAACTTTAAAGCAGATATTTGGTCATTAGGTATTACTTTAATAGAGTTGGCAGAGGGTAGACCCCCAAATAGAGGTTTGAAATCTATGAACCAATTAGTCGACATACCCAATATGCCACCCCCAAAGCTATCAAATCCAAAAGATTGGACCCCATGTTTCAATGATTTTATAGCAAAGTGTTTAACAAAAGATCCTGAACAGAGACCTTCAGTTGTAGAGCTATTATCACACGATTTCATTAAAAATTCAAAAACTCCAGATGTATTATCAAACTTAATTAAACAAACTTTATCTTCAAGAGTGGATAACCAAAGTTAATAAAAAAAAAAAAAAAAAAAAAAGTTTTTACAATAAAAAAAAATATTTAAATAGGTTTTTAACAATTTAAAAATAAAATTTAAACCTTATTCACAAATGCTCACACTATCTATATAATTCATTCTTGAAAAAATATATATTTTTATGAATGAAGAAATCCATTTTTTGGTTAACTTTTATTTGTTTCCATATTTCTGGAAGGAGCCTAAAAAATTATATCATCCAATATCCTCATTGGTGTAGTCGGTAACACTCTAGTCTTTCACACTGGTACCTCGGGTTCGATTCCCGAATGGGGAGCTTTTTAATCACTGATATCTTCTGGAAGATCATCTTCCAGGAGATATATTTGTTATGTATTGTCATCAAGATTTTGTAATGTAGATGGAGCTACTTTAGTTATAGATAAATAATTATAACTGTAATATTCATTTAATTCTAAAATGCATATGAATACATTACAATTTACTAACAACATTTTTTATTTTCTTAAATGTTTATTTATAAGTTTATATGTATAATAAACTATTTTTTATTTAAATTTTTTTTTAAAGATCGTAATTTTAATAAATATCGATTAATTAATTGACAAATAACAATCAAAAAAGTATATTTAGTACAATTTAATGATTATCAAAGAAAAAAATTTATAAATAAATGATCATCACAAAAATTTGTCATGTTTTTTTTTCAGTGATATTATTATATATTTAAAAAAAAAAAAGAAATTTCTCAATGACTTTAAAGTTATTTGAAATAAATAAATAAATAATTAAATAAATAATATTTTATTTTTTTTTTTAATTAAATTTTTTTCGTATGATTATTAATTTTTTTTTTTTTAATAAAAAAAAAATGAAAAATACTATTAAATTTTTTTTTTTTTAATTGGACAGTTGGCATTATCATTTTTTTTTTTGAATAATTAAGATTGCAATGGTTTCTAAAATTGGTAATTTTCATTCTTATTTAATTAAAAAAAATAAAAATTTATTAATTCATTTCCCAAACATATCAGCCACTTTTATAATAATAATAAAAAGTGTGTGTGGTGGGGTTATAATTTAATTTTTTTTAAATTTTTTTTATAAAATTATTTTTTTATTTGGTGTTTGTGTTTAAAAAATAAACGGATGATCACTACTTTTATGATAGCTACAGATTAAAAATTTAATAGAATGTATAAAAAAGGAAATACCGAGTTTGGATCTAATCTATTATATTAACAAAAGGAAATTATAATTAAAATGAATTAAATTTATTTTTTTATTTCATTTTCTAAAAAAATTTTAAAAACCTATAAAAACTTTTTTCGAATTTTTTTTTCATTAAATTCAAGCTCACAATCAAAGTAATTTGTATAATCAAGTTTAAATTTAATAGTATTTTTTTAATCATTATATTATATTTTTTTTTTTAATAATTATATATATTTTATATTTTATTTTATTTTACCCTTTATAAATAGAAAACAATAAAAAATGGGTAACATTTTTTCAAAAAAGGTAATTATCTCTTATATAACATACATTATAAAAAAATAAATACTAATTATTGTTTTATTTGTATTTAGGATTTCATTTTTGAAAAAAAAGTAAGAGCTATGGAATCCAATATTAATAAATTGGAGACCAAAATTTTAAGCTCCAAAACTGACCACTATAATAATTATAAAATAAACATTTTTTATTTTTTTATTATAGAATTATTAATAGCAACTTTTTTATATGAAAAGCTTGCATCATCCGACACTTTGTCTGAAAAGGCAATGTGTGTATATTATTCATTATTTACTTCAATAATGTAAGTTTTTCATTTTTAATTTATATATAACTTTTTATATATTATAGATATTAACATTTATATTATCATTTTAGGATCTATTTATTAATTAAATTGGATAGATTATTTTTTGACATATTTATAAAAAATAATGAAAAAAAATTAATTAAATTACATTCTGGTCTTGAAAAATTGTTCGAAGAAAGGAAACTCGAAACAGATTTTGAAAAGACCAAGAATCTTTTGGAGGCATACGAAATTTTTAAGAAAAAAAGTAGGTACTAGATAGTATTCATTTAAAATATTATATCTGTAGTAATGTAATGTCTAACTATTTTTTTTTAGATTTCGATAACAGATACCAACCAGAGTATCAACATCAACCTCCATAACAACCACCACAATCTCAACTTCAATATATCTTAGTAGATATATTATAAATAAAATAGATAAAAAAATAAAATTAAAAAAATAATTATTTAGAATCAAAAAAAAAAAGAAGAATTTATCGCAAATGTTCAAAATCCATGAAGGTAAAGATCCAATCAAAGTAAAAGGCCTTCAATTAAATCAACACCAAAGAATTTTTTCTAATCAACTATTTGATGTATATCAGACATTGTTCTGGCCAAGCAACAATGGTATCATCGAATGGTTTTAGAGGAAGAAAAGATTTAATGGTTCATTAGAAGAAATGATTTAATGGTTCTAATCCGGCAGCTTCCAAAACTTAATCAATTGACACAAGTACTAATCTTAGTAAATCCGTTATGTCCAAATAAAGAGTTGTGCATTCAATTGATAGTTTTCTCTTTGACCACCCAGGTTTCATTAATTTAATAACTGCTGCCATAAAATAAAGATAAAGATAAATTCTTTTTATAAATTTTTTTTTGAAATAATTATTTTTATTTTTTTTTTTTAATTTTTAATTTCTTATTTTTTTAAAAAAAATTTTATTTGATATTAAATAAATCATTTTAAAAATAAAATGTCAAATAACAATAATCTAGTTTAGTTGAAATTTTAATTTATTTTTATTTAAAATTTCATAATTTACATTGATTTAAAAATTAAATAGGTTCTAGAAAATAATTTTTATAATAAAAAATTAACATCCTAAATATAAAAATGTTAAAAATTAATAAAAGATCGATAGAAATAAAGCATATTAAAGTCATACATACACAGTAATATCTATAACAACCAAAAGGCCTAATGGGAATATATACTAAAGTGTAACCATGTGGACATTTTATATTTTCATTTTGGCAATTGTTTTCTAAATCCAAAGTATTGTTGGAAATGCAACCACTATAAAAGATACATTTTGAACTATCTCGGTGATAAGTGGGAATAGATGTTGGTTGTGATGCACAAATTGTTTCATTAATGAAATCTTTAAGATCTTCAATACCATTATTCACAATATATTGATTATCAAAGTTTTTTTTTTCTCTACATTTTTCTATTTCACTATTATATCCACTAAATGGGATCTCTATAAATATTTTAGTTATTGAAAAAGTTTTTTTTTGTTTATCAATAAAGCCATAGTTAATGGTTTTTGAATTTGTTATTTGTTTGTGTAACCAATTAATATCTAAATGGTTTATTGTTTTACTATACATTTCTTTAAAAGATAATAATTTATATTGAAAAGATAAATTTATAGTTTCTGCAGTAAAAGGATGATATGGGTTGTTTACATAATTTTTTGAATCAATAATTGATGCAACATTTGGAGTTGACTCTGATATAGTTATATATTGATATTCTCGATTGTAATTAGGTACGCCATATATTTTATCGGCACCGTTATTATATATTAGACGGGTAGCATTATGCACTTGAAAATATTGAAATTTGGGATGGGATAGTATTAATCCACCTAGTAATAGATCATCAGTTAATGCCAATGTAATTAATGAAATATTGTAGTTTATTATTGATGGATCTAGTGAAATTGATGAAACATATATTGGACTTTGACCAGTATTTACACGTGATAACCAATACCCACCACATTGAGGATAGGGACAATCTCTGTCATCAATTTTTATACTATAAAAAATAAAATCTTTTTTAGATAAACAATTAATATATTTAAATAACAATAAAGAAAATATAATAGTTTTAAAAATATTCATTTTATATAAGTATTATACATATTGCATAAAAGTTTTAGTATAATAAAAAAAAAAAATGAAACCATTAATTTTAAAATTAAAAAAAAAAAAATAATAATTTTAAAATATAAAATATTTCAAGCTTTTTTTGATTGGTTTTTGTAGATTAAAGGTTTTTTTTTAAACAATTATAATTTATATAAGTATTATACATATTGCATAATCGTTTATATTTATATTTTTTTGTTTTTATTCTTTTATTTTTAAAATGGGGGGATAAAAATTACTAACCTTTGCTCTAAATCTATAAGAAAAAAATAAATAAATTAAAGAATAAATATTGTTATTTTTACTATTGTTTTTATATTTTAAAAAAAGTAAAAATTTTTTTATTTATTTTTATATATTTTATTAAATTTATTATTATAAAAAATATATTTTAATTTAAATAATTATAAATATGATTATGGTTAAAACCTTTAATATTATTTTTTAAAATTTGAAATTTACAATTTTGATTAATTTTTGATAAAGTGGAACTTGATAAGAATTGAGAACAAAAGCTGATATCTAAAGTTTTTAATGCAACTATTCCTATACTTTTTCTATTGCTATTATATAGAGTACTACTGCTACTAAAGAATGGAGATGACAATAATATATCTAAAAATGACTGGTCTAATTGGAAGCAACCCGGTATTGAAAGATATTCTAAATGTTTATATAAGCCAGTGACAACATATGCTAAATCCATCCAATCTATACAACGACAGTAGCCTAGAGATAATGATTTTAAGTGAAATGATGTAAAGTTTTTTGAATTTGGTAAGAGTGCTCTAATAGTTGATTTGGCAATTGGATTAAATGAAAGATCTAACGAAATTAATGTTGAGGGTAATGTTTGAACTAAAAGTGCACCATCATCATCTGAAAGGAAAACCTTGGCTAATGAAAATATTTTTAAATTTTGAAATGCTGTTTTTAAACAATATAAGTTTCTTGATAATATACTCTTGCAACCAGAGAGATTTAATTCTACTAGTGATGGCATCTTATTCATAAATAATGATTGATTAATTGCTTTGTTATTTATTGTATCATTATAATATTTTTTATTTTTTATTATGCTGTTATTAAAATTATTTATTATTATATTGTTAGCGTTATTATTATTATTATTACTATTATTATTATTGTTATTATTATTATTAATATTATTATTATTATTATTATTATTATTATTATTATTATTATTATTATTATTATTATTATTATTATTATTATTATTATTATTATTATTATTATTATTATTATTATTATTATTATTATAATTATAATTATTATTGTAATTAT